GGTGATGGTTCACATCCTAATAGTGTAGAAAAGCTGCTCACACGGCCATCTACAGAACTACTGATCACACATTATGTAGGTTTTCTACCCAAAATAAGAACCCAACTCCTTTCTGTATCTGATTCTCCAGTTATCAGTTGTGTTTTCTGATGTGTTTTAGTTAAACTGCTGCTATATCTCCATCCAGGTTTCATTCCCCTGTAAGTTTAATGGTCAGAAAGCTGGAGGCATTTGGGAAATCTTCAGAAAAGTGACGTTTCAGTTGTTAATTTTTCTGGGCTGTAACCCTAACCCTAATCAGAAAATTCTGTGCTATCTGTTGTTTTATTTTGCTATGACACTTGTATGAATTGGACTAATCTGGCTTGAATTTAAACTTTAATCTTTGAAGTGCCAAAAGATTTGTATTGGTGTGGTGTTCTGTAAATGCAACTCAATTAAATTGAATGTTTTCCACAACTGAAGAAATTTAAGAAATGGTTTCTGTTTAAAACATAATGAACACAAAACAGTGTGTCCATAAATCCTGGATTTTTCCAATCTACTTTATCTTTTTATATAGCTTGCTAACTAATATAGCTATTCATACGCTGATATAGCTAATAGCCATATTAGCTATTACGGCTAATAGCTACAATAGCTAATATGTTTCTAAATATATATATTTCTAAAATATATATTTATATAGCTATTAGCTATATCTAGCAAGCTATAAAAATACATAGCATATAAAGCTATTAGGTATACTAGCTAATAGCTGCTAATAGAGCCATTAGCTATATCCAACAAGCTATATTAATACATAGCATATATAGCTATTGGCTATACTAGCCACTAGCTGCTAATAGAGCCATTAATTATATCTAGCAAGCTAAATTAACACTAGCTATGCTAGCTAATAGCAATATTTGCTGCTGATTTAGCTATATTAGCTACGATGTCAACAAAAATATCTATGATCTAATACAGCTATTTATTTTTTTATTGGCTATATTAGCTCATTTATTTATTTCTAAGCTATCCAAGCTGTATTTTCTCACATGGGTGAAAACTGTAAAGCCAAAACAAAGGGTCTGAAAGCTGTGACTACCCAAAGTGCAGCTGGGGAGGCTCCAGAGGACGGGGATAAATCAAACAAGTGAAGTGCCAAATCCTGGAGCTGAACAGGAG